TAATATATAGAAGTTCAAAACTTTATTATAATCAACTATGGTAAATTGATTTTGTGTGACAGAACAGAATAACATTCACTTGAAATATCTCACTGATGATACTTGCTGTTTTTGACATCTTGACATTTTCAAGTTTTGCACTTCTAAATTTTAAAAGTAGTTTTAATGAAAATCCAACTAACAAGTTGTTGTTGACTGTTTTTTGTTAAGGTATTGATTTCAAAAATGCATTTATCAAAGAGATATAGAATAACAAATTCTCTGGTATTAAATTACAATAGAATAGAAACCTATTAAAGCAAAATACCATCACCGAAGAGAGAATTAATGATTTTATTTTATGTGGGGAATAGGTTATAACATTGTTTTTTCATGGTGTGGAATGATTTTAATGAATTCGAGTAAAATTAAAAAATTATTAAATTGAAAAGATTTATTATAATTATGTAATTTGATTTCATTGAAGTGATAATTTTATTTGGATATTAAATTGGGTTCACAGCTTCTATGTATAACTTTGCAATTAAAATCTGATTAAATGCTTTTTATATTAACGATATTAAAAATTTGAATAATTCTTATTTGTTAATTCAATTTTTGAATTTCATATTTTGCTATCATCTTATTTTATTTGAGTCAAAGCAAATTCAATAATTTTATCTTCTTTCTACTTGAATTAGAATACATTAAATTTAATAATAATCAAGTTTAATTTATAACAATAGAACATGATCCATAATTTGTCACAATATTTTGTATGATTGAGATTTCTAGAAATACAGAAAAAAGTATTCTAAAAAAGCATCACGATGATTATTTTAATAATTCTTGGTATGTGTCCAAAATATTAGTCTGAATAATGCCAATGACCAATTTTGCATGCCATAAGCAAACTGCATTAAATTTTTATCAAAATTTAATTTATGCAAAGTAAATGCCATAAAAATTTATCTGTATATTGTAATAATTTTGGTTAGTAAAGTGTTTGATTATCTTCAAGCTCTTAAGCAATTTATCAGAACTAATTAGATAACAGAACAAAAGCAATAAGCACAAAAACAGTTCTTAATCTTCAGATCACAAAAACTAATGACTGATTGCTTTCTAAAGACTTTCAAAATATTTTGCCACAAAAATCTCAATAAAAAATAGGAATAAATAAATAAGAATCATCATTCATAATAATCTACTGATTTTTATCACGAAATTTGTTGATAAGAAAATCCAATGGCATTTTCTATCAAATTTTTTTATTATTGCAATACATTAATATATAATAGGTTGAATAAATTTCTTTTTGCTTCAGAAATACAAATATTATAATCAAATTAAGTTATTTTAAAAATTGTCAAAACATATTTAAAGGAATTCTATAAAAATAATTCTGAACTCTTTGAATGTTTTCAATGTGTAGTGGCAAAACAATTGATGTTTAGATTGAAATGATAAAAATAACTATGAAATTCATTATTATGAATTCCATGGTTATTTTTAAGAAAGACTATGCCTAAGAAAATTTTAGTTTTTATTTTTAGGTAATTATAGATGTTGCTTTCGGCACATCCTTTAATAATTACAGGTTATGAGACAATTTATGCATACAGATTAGATATTTTCTTTTATTTTTTCAAAATAAAAAAAAAATGTTAAAGTAGGAAGTTATAAACCTTTATAAATTTTCATATTTAATTATCATATCCAATTTAAAAATAAGTTCAGTTAACTGATTTTAATGTTTAGATTTTGGTTCATATTTAGAAGTAAATATGATAAATGCTGAATAAATTTTAGAAAGTTCTGAGCTCTTTTGATCAAAAGTTTGTGTAAATAAAAATTATTTTTAATTTTGTTCAAATTTTTAATAATAATAATAATGTTAGGTAATTAAGTTCAGTCAGCCATTGATTTCATAGTTTCTTTAATAAATTTAAAGCAGTATGCATTATCAATGGTATTTACTAAAAATATTTGTGTTTTTAATTTGAAGAGAAAGAAAATTAGAGATTTGAAATGGATGATTATATAAAAGTAGAGAAGATTGGAGAAGGTAAATTTGTATTAATTTATATATAAATTCATAAATTAAATTATTAATAATTAATAAATATAAACCTAAAAGGAACATATGGAGTGGTATACAAAGGAAAAAACAGAAGAACTGGACAATTAGTTGCATTAAAGAAAATAAGATTGGAAAGTGAAGATGAAGGTGTTCCATCTACAGCCATAAGAGAAATTTCATTGTTGAAAGAACTGAATCATAGCAATATTGTTCGGTAAATCAGCTTAAAGTTAATATCTTTTCAATATTGTTTGTAAATTAATTCAATAGAATCTAGTTTAAAATAAAAATAAATTTAAATATGAATACAAGTATTATTATTTAATAAATGTAGATGAAAACAATATTAATTTTTTGGGAGCAGAATACTATAGTCTGTAGCCAGTGTTCATTATAATAACTGTATATATATAAAAGAAATACCCACTCCCAAAATGCAATCTTATTTTGCAATTATGTGAACAACAAAATCTGATGACAGTGTCTAGGGTACTAAGATGATTGATTGTGAATTTTTTCTAATATATAACATAAAAAATTATGTGAATTGTAAAAAAATTTAACTTTCAGAGAAATTTTATTTCTAAGGTAAATTTATTTATCTTTAGATTATTACTATACATTCAATTATTTAATTGTTAATATGTTTAGTAAAATTAAAATAATAAATAAAAGTATTTATATATTAAACATTTTTTACAGTTTAAAATGTAAGGGGGAAAATGATATTAATTGCATTTCTATATACATAGCCTATATATGTAAAAATAATCATCTGTCTAACCAAATATTTATTTTTCAGTTTACAGGATGTACTTATGCAAGAAAATCGGCTGCATTTGGTTTTTGAATATTTATCAATGGATCTAAAAAAATATTTGGACAGTATTCCTAGTGGGCAGTATATGGATAAGATGCTTGTTAAGGTAAATATTAAATACAGTATATATTAAAATAAAAAACTGGCATTTGCTAGGATTTGTATACAGTTTCACAGATTTTAGAAAATTAACTTATTTAACCAATAAGAATTACACCTCAATTCGATATTTCCAGCAAAGAGATTCAGAATATGAGATGTAATTCTTATCATGTACAGTTCCAGTTTTCTGGTACAGTTGGTGTTTATTATTTAACTGAACACTTCAATTCTAAAATTTTCAAAATTTTATTTATTTTCTTCTTTCAAAATTTTTTAATTGGTCTTTTCAAATTAATAAGTACTTGGAGTAAATGACATTCAAATTTGTAAGACAATTAATTGGGATGTTATTAGCTTTGTTATCTAAGCTCAAGGTTTAAATTTTTATATATACATACAGTAGATTCTACTTATTGTAATCTAAGATAATATTATCAGTTGGTTAATATTATTAAAATTAGCAAGTTCCAAAATGTTTAAGTTATAATACACTATAAAAACTTTGCTTACTGTAATCAGAATGCAGTCATTGGTATCATTATATTTAGATAGTTTTCTTTTCTTTTCATGCTATTTAACAGCCTCAGTATATGGCTAGCATGAAAAGAAGTTATCATCAGTCTTAATAATTAAAATGATTAACTTTAAACTTGTATTGTGAGCAAATAACCTGTTTTAATTGCTGGCATTATGCATGTTGTCGAAGTTGGTAGCAGGCAAAAACAATAACAAATGAATTTTTTTAATTAATTAATAATAACTATAATTAATAAGTGCTCAGATTCATGCATTATTAAAAGGATATGTTAAAACAATTAATTAGTATAAATTCTAGTTTCATGACTAACTTTATCATCATATTTACTTTGGGACCCATCTAAACTGATAACATTATGCAAAGTGATTACAATTTCCATTTTTATTTAATAATTTCAAAAAGACATTCAGAATGCTTTTTGCTTAATTGAGACTTTTCATCTGAAACATTCCAAATTTCAGTAAGCTTAGCAGTCTATTGTTCAGAAAAGCCTTCAGTTGGTTTTATTTACTAAATATTTATTCATATTATAATCATGTAAAATGGACTCTCTACAAAATGGAAAATGAATATTTGGAACAAAATTATTTGCTACATAAAATATTAAGTGGAAACAAAGAACTTTTTAGGTTCTAATGATTTAACATAATCTGAATAAAGTTGTATTTTTCAGTATAAAACAGTACAATGGGAACCTTGAATAACAAGCAAAACAAATTGTAAAATAATGACGTGCTTAACGAGCGAGGTTTCACATAACGAGTGATGAGGAGAGGGGAAGTCCCGGATTGTGTGCTTGCTCCATCAGTCTGTGTTTAGCCCTCGTTCCACTAGTGTCTTATTGTTGCTCGTGATCACATATTTTTCCAAACTTGTGTTCACACATGTTACATATAAACATCAACAACCATAGTCCGTTATATAATAAGCACACCAAACGATATACCAAATTCTTGGGGTATGTAAAGGCTGTAATTAAATAGAAATTAATTAATCTGACTAGAGGTTATGCTGCCATCTTGTATTAAATTTAATGACCAATTCCAAATTAAATTTTAGAAATGTCNCAATTAATTATTAAAAATTTCTGGTTTCATTGACTAACTTTATCATCATATTTACTTTGCATAATGTTACCAGTTTAGGTGAGTCCCAAAGTGATTACAATTTCCATTTAATAATTTCAAAAAGACATTCAGAATGCTTTTTGCTTAACTGAGACTTTTCTTCTGAAACATTCCATTTCAATAAGCTTAACAGTCCATTTCTCAGAAAAACGTTTTGTTTTTATCTACTAAATATTTATTCATATTATAATCATGTAAAATGGACTCTCTACAAAATGGAAAATGAATATTTGGAACAAAATTATTTGCTACATAAAATGTTAAGTTGGAAACAGAACTTTTTAGGTACCAATGATTTAACATAATCTGAATAAAGTGGAATTTTTCAGTATAAAACAGTATTATGATTTAACTGCTAACTTGCAAATTTGAATCAGGGTTGACTTTGCATTAGCAAGAGCTATTCTATTATTTTCTTTAAGATGCTACTTTTCAGACAATTTAAATATAGCAATACAAAACCAATGTTTCTTTCCAACTGCCTGAGAAAAAAATAAGTATTTAATTTTTCTAGAATAAGTTTAATAATAGTATTGTACATGTTTTTAGGGAAACTTGCATTCTAAAAATATAATTTGTATAAGTTTGGAATACATTGTATCAGATTTATTTAATAATGAATCTTTATTTGAGAAAAATATTTTAGGGCAAAATGCTTCCATTTCCTCCATAATAGCCAGACATCAGTATATCATTACACACACAGTCATAGAATGTTTTTTAATTTGTATGGGTACTGGGTTTTAGATTTCCCCCTCTATGACATCTCAGTATTTTCAATATGTTTGATACACAAAATACTATTTTTTTTTTTTGAAGGAAAAACAGTTCTAAATAACATTACCCACTATAAAATGGAAATCTGCCAGAACAGAAAATTCTAGCATGTTACATTGTAGATATAATACAGTGAGTGATCAGTTAACAAACACAATCTGTTCCAAGACTTTGTTTGTTAACTGATTATTGATTTGCCATAGGTTTTTATGGGAATTTGATTAATTCATTCTGGAGACCCCCAAAAATAAAAAATATATATACTTTCTTACTAAGTTTATTTATATGTAATAATAAAAATACATATGACTAATAAAAATGCAAGACTGTATATATGCTTTTTTATGTTTGCGGGTGTTAAAGAATCTGTGTAATATCGATTGCTTTTCTCTCTCCAGGATTTTTCAGAAGTAATTAATAGCATTGTAATTGTACAGATCCCTAAGACTATTAACCTCAACCTGGTTTGAATGCCATTCTAAGACCACTGTTCTGACATCCTCCCACTTCTTCAAAAAAATGTTTAAATTAATAGCAGATATTGACATTTATTCTTTTTTTCAGAAGACAACATATCTCGCTGACTTTCTTGTTGTTCTTCATTCAAGAGTTCTTGGCGTTCTTCTGTCATCAGAACCATTTCACGTTCCATTATGAACTCTTCAATGTTCTTTATTTCTCAGATGTGATTTTTGTTACTCCTTTAGCTGCTTGAGTATTTTTGATTATATAGTACCTTTTCTACATAAGATTGAACTGCAACCTACTGTCAAGCCATAATAATGCCCAACAACATCAGACATCGTCTGCCCACTCTCTACCTTTGCTATTATATTCTCACCTTTCAAAAATAAAAACTGATGTAAAACTTAATGAGTGCTCGCCCGACAGTCTTGCAAATTCTATAAAAGAATCATTTGTCAAAAAATAAAAAAAAAAACTGGAATTATAAGGGAGAGTTTCAAAGTTCGGAGAAATTCTATCCGATTAGTATATACCAGGTTGAGTGTCAATGGCGACGTCTCCCGCACTCCGAAAAGTTTCGAATTGTTGCCTGAAGATGAGAGAGAAGACCAATCGGTATTCATTATTTTACATCGCTTCTTGTGTTTGTTCTGTGAACTGTTCGTTATCTGATTTGTTTGTTAACCAATCACCCACTGTATAGGTTTTAATGTCTAGTTTAACTTTTTAACTACATATGGATGATATAATTTATCCATAGATTTAGAAAAATTATTGCATATTATATATTTATAAAAAATTCTATTAAGTAAATGATCACACTTCAGTAAAGAACTCAATTGTTGAAACTTAAAAATATGCTAAAGATATTTCATGGCATGTATGAAGTTTTAGCCTTTTTAGAAGCTGTCTTATATAAGATGTGGGGTAATATTTTTTCTTTATCTCCCATAGGCTAATGAATTTCCCAAATAGACCAACTCTCGAATAAAAATGTTGTTTAATGATTCATACATCAAAAGCTGTTTATGATTATTATTAAAATACACAATAATATTTTAAACTCATCTTTTCCCGATTAAAAAGTATAATGCATGTTTTTATTTATTTTAAATGAATACAGTAAAATATTTTGTTGGGCTAAGTGTCAAAGAGCATTATGGCTTAAATACTCTCTTCCTAAATACCAATTTTAGCACAGAATATTATTGTATTATACACACACATCATATTTATGGTATATATTATCTTTTCCAAATATAATGCATATATATATATCCTTTTCTGTTTTTCTAGATTGTTTCCTGTGTTTAGTTGCTCTGTTAACATTAATTTCTAAGAAATAATGCCAAAATTTTACCATCTTATTTGAGAAATGTTAGATGCAGTTTTTATGATCTATAGAATAAACTAATTAATATATGCATTCAGTTATTTAATTTAATATTAATCTGCATATAAATTTTACTTAATAAAGCTAATTGAAAAATTTTTTTTGTTTTATCCTATTAAGAGTTATCTGCATCAGATTTTACAAGCTATAGTATATTGCCATCAACGTCGAATTCTTCATCGCGATTTGAAACCACAGAATTTACTAATTGACCAGAAAGGAATGATCAAGATTGCAGACTTTGGTTTGGCTCGAGCATTTGGTATTCCTGTACGAGTATATACACACGAAGTTGTGACACTTTGGTATAGAGCACCTGAAGTTCTTTTGGGATCGCCTCGTTACTCTACTCCTGTAGATATATGGAGCGTTGGATGTATTTTTTCTGAAATGGCTAATAAGAGGCCACTTTTTCATGGTGATTCTGAAATTGATCAGCTTTTCCGGATATTTAGGTACAATTTTAAATTCCTGATTTTTTTTACACAATTGTTTGAATTATTTGAAAAATTATTTTTCTTTTCAGAACTTTAAGTACTCCAACTGAAGATATATGGCCTGGAGTTTCTCACATGCCTGATTATAAGCCTATTTTTCCCAGGTGGAAACAAAATATACTTACGACAAATGTACCTCAACTAGATACTAGTGGAGTTGATTTACTTCAGGTCAGTAGATATTTATTATACGAGTGAGAAGAAATTTTCCTTTCGTAATAATGATAATATTTCTTTCCCACAGAAAATGCTTGTTTACAATCCAGCAGAACGTATCTCAGCTCAAGCTGCTTTAACACACAGTTACTTTGATGATTTAGAATCCTTCAAGTGTGAAGCATTGTAACATTTGAAACAAAAGTTATATGTAATTTGTGCATAGTATTTTGCTTTGGTTTTTTTTTTATTATATACATATCATTTAATTTTTCAATTATGTTTATTTTATTTGAAATAAAAGTAATTTTTAATTCTACAAAGCACAATTTTGTACATAATTTCTTTTGGAAAAAACATACAATAAATATTTAAGTAGTAATTTACCAATCAAATTCGGAAAAATATCTATTTTTATCATGTCACTTTACAAAGTTTTTTTTACTAAATAGTTAAGAATGAGCAAATAAAAACTAATACAAAATGACTAGTATATCTATAAATGTTTTCATAATGTGAAAAGAAAATATCAAACAATAACTATTTATATATACTTATTACAAAAATATATTAATTAAACAAAACATAGTATAGACATTATTATTGGTTAAAAGAAATATTACTTTTCCCTAATTAGTTGCTGTTTTGTTCTTAATACTGCATCAGTTTAAAACTGCTACTGGAAGTTAGAGAGATGGACTTGAGCTCTTCTCATTGTCCACGAAATCTAAATATTCTTTTCCAATTGTTAGCATGCAAAAGGAGCTTGATAATGCAAATATTGTCCGGAGTATGTTACTTTCTGGCAATAATGTCTTTGTAACAGCCCAAAGCAGCACAGATCCAAAATTAAACAATAGAGCTCCATATACACTATACATAATGCGATAGTAAGTAGATGCTTTCTGCATGTGATTACGATTATACAAGTATAACCCCGAACCCAAATGTGAATTAAATAACAGACTGTTGGCAACTGCAAAACTGTTACGCGAAAATAATCTGGAAAGAAAAATTATTACCAGCATTTAATCTAGTTAAAATAGATAAGTTTTAACCACCCAGCAGGTGCATCCGACATGAACTATTTATTTATTGTAATATGTTCTTGCAGTAATATATGCTGTAGTTACCTAATTTCTGTTAATGACGATTGAAGCCATAATACATATTATAAAAGTTATTAATAATTTCCACCAATTTTGAAATTCATATTGTGTGATCAAGTAGATGATGACAATCAATGTTATGAGGATGTTACAAACTTATACCTCAATGATTACTGAAATAAAAATATAGCAGAGAGAATTAAAAATACAACAACAACTGTTGGTATTTCTTATTCAGTAAATAACACAAGCCTACAAAAAAAAATTTTTTTTTGGTGCCTAGGATTTTAGAACTGATTTTAGCTATATTTGGGTCACTGAATCCAAATATGAAATCAGTTTTTCTCTATCAGCTCTACTTTTTTTAGATCTTTTTTTTTTAATGTACAGTGCTACATGAAATGTGCAGCTCTAATTCCAGTTTGTACAGTTCTAAATCATATATGCAAGAATTGATTCCTGTATTTTTTCCCCATTGTTAGTCTGCTGTCCAGTTAGTTCCAGGTAAATCCACCAAATGAAGTAAGCATTCGGTAATGAATTGACGTTCAATGCTTCAACTAGGATTGAAGTAAGTTTGTAAGTTCTAGCCGTGCAGTGTCTAGATCGGCGTTTCCCAACCTTATTTGTGCTATGCCCCACCTAAGCCTTTCTAAAATTCTTATGTCTCAGTTAAGTATAGAAAAATTAAAGCAGGAATATTTGATGGCCCATAAATAAGACAACTCATTAATGATCTTGCCTTCGTCAATTCGATGAATGAAGCTGAACAAAAAGCCTGGACTTCATTTGTTGAAGTTGTCAGAAATTTTCTAGGCAAACGAGATGCTTAACAGTTTCAAATCCCTTGGGTGTAATATGAGCTTTAAGGTGCACTATTTACACAGTCACTTAGACCGTTTTCCTGAAATTTAGGAGACACTAGTGAAGAACAAGGTGAAAAATTTCACCAGGATATTAAAACTATGGAGGACCGCTACCAAGGAAGATGGAATACGCATATGACGGCAGATTACTGCTGGAGTTTAAAAAGGGATTGCTCCAAAATACATTCATGAAAGTCACGGAAAAGAAGCTTCCTCAATGTGTAACTGTTTAGTTTTATTGATGACTTTTTCCTCTATCTTTGTATAGAATAATATTTGCATAATATAATAATAAAAAGTCCGTGTTTAGTTTTTTTACTTGATCCATGGATTTAACTTAAGATATTGAAACGTATATTTCACTAAAATGCTATATCTTAAAAATTAGAGCTCCTAGGCAAAAACTAATGCCATATTTGAATTCAAGACATCAAATTCATATGAAATCAGCTCAAAATACCTGGGCACCAAAACCACTGTTGACCTGTGTAATGAGACATTTATATTAGTCTTTAAGTGAATTCAGAATTCATTTACCACTTCTCTGTTGACAAATAAGATTAAGCATTTGTTACTATCATACTAGTATGATTAATTTAATGAAAATGGAAAATAATAATTCTGAGAAATAGTATTAAACAACATGCAATGCATGCTTGTTGACAGTAAACATTTAGATGCTCCTGCTGGAAGGTTTACACAAATAAAAAATCTTTTATGTTAAAATTATATAGTAATAATTCTTTAGATGCAAATCAAATTTTTAAAAATTTTTCAAGCATAGATTAAAGTGAGCTTAATAAGTATTAAAAGATACAATACATAAAGTTTTGTAAGGAAAATTTTAAAAGTATTTTTGTAATTAAATATTTTTATATTCCAAATCAAAATTTCATTTTACAATAACAGAATTTAAATATAGTCACTTTAATCAAATATTAAAACAATTTTAAATTATTCCTAATATGTTTACATTTAAAATTGTGAATAAAGTTCTGAATTATAAAAACATACTTTTCTTATAATTATTTTCAAAGAATATTTTGTTACAAATTATTTAAGTAGCACAATAAATTTTCTATTAACTTCTGTATAATTGTTACTATTTCAAAAACAATTAAAAATAAAATAAAAGCAAGAAATTAAAATTTTGTAAATTGATTCTTTATAGAAGTTTTAGCCTAATATAAAATTTACAAAACAATCTTCAATTAATAAAATTTAAAAACTGCATCAGAATAATAATAATGATCAACTGTTGTCTCTTGTATTATGCATATATTTTTTTTATCATTAAAAACTAATTACTCAACATCATTTTTATTTATTTTTTTAAAAGCTAATTTAAAGATAAACTGCATTAAAGCATAATCATTTTTTCCTAACTGCATAATTAATTTCTGTAAATATTTTTAAAGGTTAATCTTCAGCTACATAAAAAGAGCCGTAAGATAACCGAACCATACATTCAATAATTAAAATTGGCAAGATGTTTTCATTCAAACTTTGACATTTTGTGAATGAAAACATTACAAAAAAAAGAAAATTTTCAACTGCAGCAAAATATTGGGGTTTTTACGAAATATTATTATCCGTAATGCAACTTTCGACATTCCTTCCCGTTTATATATTGTCGACTTTAAGACGTTTACGAACGGAAGAGAGATTTAAATAATAAAAATAGGAATTAATATTCTCAAACATGTGTAATGTGAATAATTAAAATATTACAAAGCTTAAATTATGCATATATTAATAAATTTTTATTAGGATAAAATAAGAATGAATTACACGTAAAGATTATTTAATACGTTTAATTTTTGAGAAGTGAAAGTCAAGGTTACGGTCTATTGATTTACCTTTTCTATACTACAAAATAAAAGTAAAAATTCCGAGGTTCATTTCATACTATAGACGGGGAAAAAAGACATTTTAACAGCCAAAGATTAGGATTACGAAACCGAAAGGAATACGGATTTAGTATTTGATGCTATTCTATAGCTATTTATCTAGAGGGCAACAACATCAACTACTAAATCCTATTTTTTCTTTGAGCAAACACAAACACAATTTATATTTTAAATTACCATATCTGTTCAATTTATTTAATGATTTATCTTAATTAAAATTACATAAAAAAATGATTCTGTTCCACAGTTTGAAATAAAGATGAATGCTTGTTTAATTAATTTCCCAACTTGATAATTAATTTGTGTACATGCTTAGGAATTTGTTTAGCTTCTGCAGAAGCTCATATAGATAAATACCTGTTTTTATAATTAATATTCGTGTGAGAATGCTGAAATTCAGCATTCTCACACGAAATTTTTAAATGAAAATATCTAATTTTAATATTTTGATAATATATATTTAATAAATGTGAAATTTATAAGTAGAAAAGAATTTACCTGGATGAAACATCAGGAATAAAAACGGTTACAGAAAATGCTGAATAACTAAAAGCTCCCGCTAAAGGAACGTAATAAACGTAAACATTTTCTGGTGTAAAAGGTTTTAATTTTGGCAACTTAGAAAAGATATATTCTGCAAAATTCTTTTTAGGAATGCTACCCTCTTCCGCCATTTTGTTTACTCCGACTGCAATCAACTGGTAATGCCATCTAACGTGTTTCGTCGTATCGATGATTCCATTGATAGTCGTGACGATAATTTGTGTTAAAAATATATTTAANGTTAATATATTTTTTCGTACATAATCGGTAATCCGAAAAATAAGTTATCCAAACAACCCCAGTCCCCAATTGATTCGGATAAATGACGCTCTCCGGTACTTGAAAAATTTTAACTCAAAGTGATAATGAATTTTCTTAATTGAATCTTATTTTCTTGATAAAAATTAAAGTTCAATACCAAATCAAATATTTTAATTTAGAACAAACAGAATAATAATATGATGATTAAAATTTTTCCTCTTACCTGTATTAAAATTATATATTAATATATATTAAAGTATATAAAGAAGTAAGGGTGAAGTGTAAAGAAGTCAAGAAAAAATTACCGAGTTGGAGTACCACTATTAGAAAAGATTGATAAAACACTGGGCTAAACTTAAAATGGTGGCCGGGAGATGAACGGGCAGTCATCCCATGAAAAGTTTCTGGAAAACTGCTCGCATGAATCCAATCCCAGATATCTCAGAGCAGTAGGTTAACGCGTTAATGATAGAATGGAAAGCATCCTACCGGTAGAAGAAATCATTTGCCCGGTGGGATGATATTATTCGCTTTATTGTACAGTAATAAAGTATATTAACAGGATGTACTACGCGATATCTCGTCTTGTAGTACAAGCTTCGAAGTAACAGCGGAATACACAGCTTCGAGATCCGGCCGCTAGAAACCACAGAATTAAACATGGCGGCTCCCATACGGCAAGAAGACTGTGCTGTGTATTTAGTCCGAAGTGACTGAATTGAACCCGACTTAACAACCAGCAAAATGTCGAACGGAGGCGGAAAAGTCCGTTTTCTAATACGTAAACTGTACAAGCGCGCACTGGCACGCATACCGCGTAACAGCGAAAATGAAAGAAATAATACTATATGTTCGTCTCTGCAACCTATTTTGACTCCCCAGAATGTAACAATGATAGGAGCTTCGGGTTCCTATAATTCAGTCCAGCTTTCGTCTGTGGATCAACTTCAACCGCACGATTCTACAAATGCAGCGTGTGCAGCGACGTTGTGCGGTTTGCTTCTACATTCGTCATAATATTATGCAACAAAAAAGCCAATTGTTTTGCATATCGTATCATCCATGACCTGCCATATATTGTCCCAATGTCAGTACATACACTAGTGTTTTGAGTTCAGCAACATGATTTCGCATTTTATATTCAGATAACAAATAATTTCCAATTTGGCAACAAAAGTTCATTCTTTTATACTTGGACATAAGTACGTATACGTGTAAGTGAGTACGGTACTCGGAACGAAATAGTCTGCCATGTCTACTGATGAACAGAATTTTCTTATAATACTTTCTTATAACGGTGCCTGTATGTTTTTATATATCAGTAATATTTTATGTATTATATAGTAATTTTGACTCACCGTCTCTGTCGCACTCTCTCCGGCTATCTTACCGCCCATCCTATCAACAGGAAGAGCTGATGGAATATTGGTAGGATCATACTAGCGCAGCTATCCTGCCGGTAGCGCCTACCAGCAGGATAACCTGGTGTGCATTCTATCATTAACCCCCTTGATATCAAAGCAACTTTAAAATAAAAGTAAATATAATAACGCATATTGCATTACTTAAATTAGATAACATTGGGCAATTAAAGTAATTCCTAAGGTAAATAATTAACATTCTCCGAAAAAACGACAGGGCGCACATGCCTTGGTCCTTCCCGAATTTGCCTTGGGGAAGATTCATTCACAAGTCTTAAATAACGTTATTTAAGACAAGCAACCCATATATCCTGAAAAATTCTCTAGAATCTGACCAGTAACCCGGGCCTCTCAGAGTAGCAATTATTACAAATCGGACAAGGCGAGGAAAGGGACGTCCATTTATTTCATTAAGTTTTATACTGTTTATGCATTTTATTATATTTATTTCAAAATTTCTTGTGTTTTGTTTCTGCTTATGGTATCTACCATTCATAAAGTGATAAAGGTTTTAAAGGGGGTCGAGTTTTGTTGGATGTCCAAAGAGAGGAGGGATTACGGAAACTTGGACAAACTAGAAAAAGAGGGGAGGTGGAGTAAAAATTTCAATGCGGATGTAATTTATGGACAGCCCCATACGAAAGGCTCCCTAACAAAGATAACAAAGTTGAGATCAAAATTATAGTTTATTCTGATGAAATATTAATATACTTTATATTGTGTTGTGTCTTCTGTTTCTATATTACTTATGAATTAGCGGTCACATAATGTGGAAATTTTATTGAATTCATATTAAAAATGTTTTTATTCGTTTAACTCGGTTCCCTCAAGATTACATTTTGAGTGTGCCACTAAAGAGTTAGTATGCAAATAGTCATTACGACGCTTTACAAGAGGGTGGGGTGTTTACAAAAACACTATGGAGTGCTAGGATTTCTGGGTTAACAGAATAATTCATTTTTGTTTCCGAAGAGTTACTTAGCGAACTCTACTGTTTACGTCATTACTTTGTGCATAATTAATAGTGTAACGTAACTTTCAATACCTCTGCTGTGTATTACTAATTACTACAATTAAGGGGATCGATTGAGGATATGCGTTTCGTAACTTTGAGGATGGGTATATGCGACGCGTTATGAAGTGTTACAGAGATGAGATGGTAGTTGAAAAGTACAATAATAGCGTTACGTACCTTACAGATGATCCTATATATTGATCACTAAGATCCTTATAATTATTTAACCGTAACGAAATACAATTCACGACAAAATACACAAAAAATTTTATTCAGTTAATATATCATGTACTGTATATAAGTTAGCGGCGTAAATACGACAAAAACAATTATTAAATATGCAAATAAGAAGCAGAATATAAAATTGGTCACGGATTCTCAGCTAAATTTTTTCTAGTACGCATTTTTTTTAATACTGGTAGTTTGAAAAAGTTTAAAAATATCTCGAAGGCAGCATCAATATTAATATTTTTAGGTTAAGGAGAAAATTTCAAGAGTTAAAAGTCACCAGGTAAAGGTCACCTAAGTATTACAATACCAAATAATGATCGTTATTTGATTCCAAATTGCTAGATGTAATACATCATGTCGATATATTAATTCTCTTGTAACTTGCTTATTAACTATAGGACACATTGTTTCAAGATAATGTCAGGAAGACTTTTAGAGAACCTATTTATACATGATATGTAGCTCATCAATAATGACTTTTACAGAAAATCCCATTTAAATTGCAACTATCATACATTATGACTTCATTGGAATTATCCACTGATATCAAGTACTGTACATTCATTTGATATTAGTTAATAGGCTAATTCGCATTTCTGTTGAATTCAGTTTTGACTTTCAAAATGATTCTCGGCTTGTTTTGATATAGAGAGAATCACTTATACATATTTCAGCCGTGCACTCAGACTTATTTGCATGCGATAATGTCGTTCATTAGTTTATTTTATACTTGCAGAATACGCTAGAAGTCGTTGATTTTCTGTTATTCGTTGATAATGGAATTTGGAGCTCCTTGGGGATTAAGAAAAAGGCAACACACATGAAAAGAGTGGGCACGTAACCCAATGTGCGGGTGCCCGATATATTTCATTTCTTAAACACCAGAGAATGAAAACGAACTAAGTTTGATGGAATCATTTAATTCGCATTAAATTTTTGTTTTATTCGTTTAACTCGACTCCCTCCCTAAGATTCCATCCACAGAAGTTGAATAAATCCAACTCATAAAATATTTAGTTAATACTTCTTATCTAAATCCAATGGAACATTTGTATTATGGTCTAAGAACACGCGCAGCAGAGCATAATTTTACATAGAAATTGCTTTTACGTTACCTTCTTATTAGTTAATTCAAATAAGTAATATTAAATTGAAGGAAATCTATTTGAATTTTTTTTTGCCTAAAATATACGAACAAACAATACGTTTTCCTTATTTTAGAAAAGACAATTACTATCTTTAAACATGTGATAGCCTAGTTTTATATGCAATAAAAATGCTATTAATATTATTGATTCGTGATAACTCGTTTATAGCTATATTTAGAATTTTTTTTTTCGGTAAAACAACAGTAAAATTTCATTAAGGCTAATTATCAAAACTGTTATTCAATTTTTTCCACTTAAAAATGTTTTCTTCTTTGTTCTTTGTCTAAACTTCTAGAATTTAGCCAAACGGTTTATTATCTATCGTTAACATCTCCTGCTAAATAAATATAATATAGTATTGTTCGGAAGGCACTCATAAATAACAAACAGGATTATTTACTGCAATATGTATTGTTTCGAAGTAATCGGTAACGATTGTGAAGCTTCTTAATACGAATTTCCGGCTGGACTACCCTTAATTGATACTACCAAGTATGATACCATTAAAAATCGTAAACTTACGATGAAATATACGAAAATTTTAACTATATAAAACAAGATTTATAATTAAAACATAGTTAATTTCTCTTTAAGTCAAATTATACAGGCCTATCTGTATACAGCATAAACAATGAAAATAGGTTAAAATATATTAATATTCAGCTTAATTAGCACTACCTTATTTTTTATTGTATATATTTATATTTAGTATTATTTTGTACAGTACGTATGACTCTTCTATAAAATAGTAATTAACATATACACCTATAAATTATCAATTATATTAAGTTTAATATTTTCTGACATCTTATTTTAAAATTATTAACTTACTCATCATAATTAAATTGTAACAAATCTTTGTTTTTTTACGAATAAATATATACGGATGACTAAAACTAATTTCGCACACCTCTAAACATTTAATTTTACACTAATTTACATGGATGTGTAATAATGCTATATAAAAATTTTATAGAATTTGCTTTAAAATTCTAAATTTTCATTTGTACTGTACAAGTAATGAGAAAGAAGATATTAAATTCAAGGTTAAAGAAGTATTTTCTGTATATATTTTTACGTTAGTTAATTATTAAACTGATTCGGTGCATCGTTATTATAACAAGAGATTTCAATTTTTAATTAGAAATTATGAATTGAACAAATAATAAAAATGTTTAATTTATATATTTTATATTATTGCATAATAAAAAATGTATTTTTATCAAAAATGATATGAAATTTTTGTGATTTTGATATTTTAAACGTTAAATATTTTGTTTGACAAAAAGTAATCAACTACAATTTTTAGTTTATATTAAAATTTTGTTAAAAATGTATAAGATGATTAATTTATATTAGATCATTAATAAACTTTAAAAATAGATATTTTAGTTGAAATTATGTTAAGTGAGCCGTTCTTAAAACTAAATTATACCTTGTCTGAGTTACATTAAAAAAAATAAAAATTTATTACTCAGTTAAATTACTTTAAAAATAAACTTTGTATAAAAAATAAAATTGTTAATAAATTTTACTTTTTATTATAAAACTCATATTGAATATTAATTTACTTACGATCAATAATTATACGCTGTAAATAATAAAAAATTGCACCTGTTTTAAATCTTGTAACTTGAATTTTTTTTAAAAATCTATAAGCACTCGTCTGTAAAATATTTATGATAAAATCCAGTTTTAAAAACTACACCATAGAAATTATGATTAAATTTATTTATAAAAAAAATCACGACTATCACTATCACATATAATATAAACTCGTATATAAATTTGTCATAAAAAATTCCTAAATTATAAAATCGCCTGAAATAACATTAATAAATTTTATATTTTGTAAATCCTATTTTAATTTAGTAAATATTAAAACGTTCTATACAGCAAATAATGAAAAATAATTATTGATTTCTTTAAAAAAATATAACAATATTCAGACGATTTTATCTTTCTTGTCAAGAATAAATACACAAACTCATTATTTACATATTTAAAAAACAACTCGGCAGTTTAAACCCCTCTTAAGATGACTTTTTTTTCAGTTTGAATTTAAGTATCTAAATTCTATAATTAGAATATTAATCTAGTCTAATTGGAGTTTAAAGAGAGAAGAAGTGATAAGTTTTGGGTATAGTTATGTTTAAAAATCCATCTACAGTCTTATTAGAAAAAGAGATGCATGCATAGAAAAAGGTCTATGGCATCACAACATACATGGCACAAACATGGCATTCTTGGCACAATGACATCGATTTCCTAATTTCGTATATTACGGAGGTTTTTGTCGGTTCTTAGTGGAGCCTAAATCTGTTTTAGGCGTTCCAGGTGACAAGCAGGTCGTTATACTAGTTACAGTAGTAAGTGTTGCAGGACGGGCTGTTGTGCGGTTAAAGGACGTTTTTCCTGAAACTGTTTGACACCAATCTTCAGCTTTTTTAATAGAAGATTCCCCTGGAATTTGACGTTCCCATGTTAGATGTGGATATACGCTAACTTCAAAATCTACCGAATTATCGACGGATACGTCTTTAGTCGGTGTAATTTTGTGATTATTTAAAGCATTATTATTCTCAGTTTCTGGACTTTTCGATTTTTCTCTCCCTGAAGAAATTTTATAAAGAGCATCAGATGATTGTAATAAATGATATTTCCAGGACAGATCGTCTTTGGTTTTAACGTTTGTTTCTACTAAACCGTTTTGCAATCGACTGCCTGAATATTTGGTAGGCGAATCTGTTAATTCGTTATTAGTAATATTAAGTTGTTTTTGTCTATCAATATACTTTGGACTATCTGACGAATTGTTTAATTTATCTGATGGTTTTCTTTTAGGAACAACGGGACGATTATTTAAAACTGGAGACATTTGTCTAGAATTTGGACATTCAATTTCTGCTGCAGGAAAACTTTTACGGGGTCCTGGCTGTTTACAACACGAGCGAGAATTTATACCGTTGCAATTTTGATGATTTGGACTGTGGTGAATTTTACAATCTCTCTCTCTATTAGAATGGATATGTAATGATCGCCTCTCACGATTACCTCCATGACGACTTCTGCGTCTCACCTAACGAATACATTATATACAGAATTAGTTCAAGAATAAAATTAAAAGTGAAAACAATTTAAACTGTTTTTTAATCTAACCTTTGTTACAACTGGCAAGTCATTTTCAATCGTTTGCGTTCCTTGAGATTGGAGAAAAATATAATTAGGATCGGACCACTCTAATGGTGGAAATTGTGTAGCAAAAGTAGCATATTTAACTGATTGAGATGGTGGTCTAGAATGGCATCTTCTAAATAATTTGCAAAATATTGACACTTTGTCTCCTGCACAAAAACAAATATGAAAAAATATTTATAAAAATAAAACAGTTTCAATAAAATAATAAAAATGAATAACTGTAAATCAACCCGATTTGATTACTAATGCCAAACCAACTGCCTGATTATTTACCGAACATTAAAAATTATCCGGCAGTTCGATTGGCATTAATAAAAATGAAATAAAAAATCGATCTCACAAAAAGGTAATAACAAATCATGGGAAGCTGTGTATGTATAGTTATTTTAATATAACATTCGTTGGCGGAAAGAAATATTATTAAGCTATCAAAAATAAATCTTGATTTCTAACAATTTTAATCTATTTATGAATATTCAATTTCTACATAGAAATTTGATATAGTACATCAGAGATTGTCCGTTTATTTTCTACAAAAAAAATCTCTCATTTTTAATTATCTTTCAAAAAACAGACGAATTTTAAATAAAAATTTGAATGACTAAAGACTTCAAAAGCACGATTTATGTTAGCATCTCTTTTTGTTACTGAACACGTCAGGTCCTATCACGATTCGCAGAGTAAGCAGAGAATGGATATTCATCACACGATCTTCCATAATTATCATTTATGAATTCCTGAATGGTAAAATTCAATGAATCAACTTACTTTTTTGTCCGTCTTCACTATCACTTCGTTTACCGGATACTTTCAATGAATTAAAACGGTATAACCCATCACAAGCATCTGTTTTGCAATTTTCTCTTTCTCTTTGCACTCTCAACGAATGACTTCTTTCCAATTTTACTGAACAATCGTCAGAAGGTAGAATCACCTTGTCTCCGGGTCGATCACCGCTAATTACATCTCGTGCTTCAACCTGTATGGCTCTATTACGCCATTTTTCTGATTTAGTTTCAGCTGTGAGAAGTCGAACAATAGCTTCTTCATTCGTCATTAACATTTGTCTTTCCCAAGCAATTGGTGATGCTGAAGTAGCACTGTATGTATCTGGTGTTACTATGTGGTAACCATTACCAGCATGGTAAAGTTTCCGGTCTCTAATTAATCCACCGAGTGTCTGATGTAAAATATCCTCGCTAGGAACGACCATTTCAGAGAAATTCGTCTGAATTCTATCGATAATGACGTCTTTAGTAGCTGTAATTGACTCACAATTCAATTCACAAACTACTTTGCATAGTGTATCAGCTAATGGAGCAAATTGTGTTTGTGGTATAATAGTCATTTCTACAGGAGGTACATCACCTGAAATAAAAAAAAAATTTTTTTCTATTACAACTAGGATTTCGATTTCCGTTTAAGAAATTTTCAAATACAAAATTTATTATTTTAATTAATACATAGTATAAAAATATAATATAATAAATTTTCTTAATTCTTTAATCAATTATATCAAAGATATTAATCAATTTTGGGAAAAAACCTACAGGCTAATAATAAACTTGTGCATTTACGTGACTTCTTTTATTTATGCATTAAAATCACGTTTGGAGCTTTCAAAAAGAAAACCAATAAAAATTTTGCTTTAAACTAACTTTGTAATAAATAAATAAACTAATTACAAGCAAAGTCTCTGTGATTCTGTCTCGATTTGAAATAAATAATAATAATAATTGTAATCAAAATGCAGGAAAAACAAAAATTAAACATCACACAGATTTTCATATATTCTTTAGATTATAATCATATAGACTAACTGATATAAAACAAAGATAAATTAGAACGAATTTGTGTATATGAATTTCATAATCATAGAATACTAGAAATATAAATTAAATGTTTTAAATATGAATAATCGAACCATTTATGTTTATGATTATATGAAAATCACGAAAAATATGATCAGTAGAAGTTGTCTATAGTGAACAACTTGACGAATTGAATCATTGTTCCCGATCATGTTCGCGATAATATGTTACCTTATATTCACGATGAATTACATGACCTGTCGAGGTAGAATTAATAATAGTTGGTCAATTTATTCCGTGTTTCTAATCGAAGGTCGTGGGTTATGGACCGAAACTTCATTTAATGGTTTTATTTGTAAGGCAAATTGATCCAAACATAGTCTACAAACAATTATAAAAATAGATGCAATACGGGTCTATTAATTAAACAATTAATTCTACTATAAATGAAAAATGTGCGGAAATAAAACACATTTATATATATAAAATAGAAAATTAAAAAAAAAATCTTTCGTGTCAATCAACCATCAAAGCCTGAAGATCGAAACATCTTAAACAGTCAAGGTCGTAGCAAGGTCTGTGGAGAGATGCGACAGGTCAGTCACATAATTTACTGCCTTAAATATAGCTGAATTGAGGTGCCTCTTATGGGAAGAGGTGTAGTTGCTGCATAAAAAGTGAAAGCGAATCAGACATCACTACATATTATGCACGGTATGTAATGAGTAGCCTGTACTAATTTAGAAATACGATATCTAGTTTTGTAAACTGTTATTATGAATAGCAAAAAAATTGCATCCTGACATAAAAAAATTCCTGAAATTGCAGCATAGGAATGAATTCTTGTTATCTCCCCTTCTAATAGATATACCGCTCTTTTCCTTCCTGAATGATCTATGTTCAAGTTAGAATTCAGTCGATAGTGAGTAGACTATGTAGTTTTTCAAGCTTTCCACGTCAACCTACCGGTTTTATACAGAGAGTAGTTAATGGCTCACATGGGAGGTAGAGTAAATGACAAACGTTATTTGAGGTTAGTTCTACGACGAAAGCTGACAAAAAAAAAATACTTTCTTTTTCATAAATTACATGTATTTAATTAACTTCAATAAAAATAAAAGCATTAATTTATATTTAATCTTTTAAATATATTATTTTTTTAAAAGAGAAAATTATTAATAACATTAAAAAAAGTTGATGAATTATAATTTAATTGTATGTCGTTATAGATGTGATCGGACAGATGTTTATTCATCCATTGTGATTCACCAAGGCTTCGATAATACGGAAAAAGTTGTCTTTAGTATATGACTCATAACGAACATTAACACGAGGTTAAATGAAGAATTATTAATTACTAATATTGTGGATAAATAAAAATAATGCCGACACTTTTAGCCCATTTATAAATATAATTTATTTTTATTATCTGGTTGGGTATTAAAATAACTGCTTTCTTAATTATATACAGCCTATATTTACTGTTATATGACATAATAAAGAAAAACATCCCAAAGATACAATATAATCATTCATAACAATTTAAACATTTCTTTATATACAAAGAAAGCGTTAAAATTATCTCATTTTAAAAAGATTATTTTGGTGTCAATGAATTTTTATATACTTAACAGAAGAAACTTTTTTTTGTTTTGTTTTGTTTTTAAATACATAAAGATTAGATTAGCATCGCGGAATCTGCGTATTTATTTGCTCTATCATATTTTTAACAATGAAACGATTGTTGATAATACATTTCAAATTATATAGTCTATGCAGTTTGCACATTTGATTTCTTACAAGCTCAATGTATAATTTAAATTAGGAAATCATTTATTTAAATCACAGTTCAATCTAAGGTCATCAGTAAAAAATACCCGAAGCAGGTGATTTTTGGCGAAAATAACAGCGTTACGAATTATGTTAGATGTACCGGACTATTTACGTCAAAAAGCTTTATCATCACATTATAGTCTTTTCTGACCTCAGACCTGCTAACTATTTAAAAGCACACCTGGCACTCGTGCTTTACCGTCACGTTTAACATTTTTCACCATGCACTATTTGGCCAGCTGTTGATATCTGTTGATGAACGCTAAAGATAAAAGATTTCTTGAGAAATATAACTATTATACCAGTTTGTTTTATTCTTAAGGGAAATTTCATCTTATAGATATGGAGACGTAAGTACATAAAAACGACTTGGAAAAATCGATTTTTATATCTTGTTTTTTTGCTACATTCTCAATTTCTAACTCTTGTTTACGAGAAAAACTTCCTACGTAAATCGATATCTACAACATTCAAAAATTCATTCCAGATAAAATATTAAAGAAAATTGTATTGTATTGGCCAGATTGAATGCTAAAGACTTTCTTTCGAACGTAATCTACAGGAAGAATGACATTTATGACAGATGAGGCATTTATCTGACCCGTCCACCGTTTTCTACTTTGTCACGACATGTCCTTCCAACCATAATTATCTCATCGAAGGAAAACATGGTTAACAATTGAACAGATTTTAAAAAAAAAAAAAAAAAATGTGAATATGATTATGCTTCTATGTAAATTAATAATCCAATTTTAAATAAAATATAAATGGTTTTATATCTTATAATATACTTTCACATATTTTGCTCATATAAAACATTGCTATTATATATAAACAATTTAGTTTTGTTTATATATAATTATTTAATTTGTTTGTTTATATATAATAATTAACAATTGTTTATTGTTTATATTATATATAAACAATTTAGAAAACAAGGAAAACTTTATTAATTAGAAAAAAAACAGATAGAATCAGTTACCTTAATCGATTTGTTATAAGACATTCATAGGAAACTCAATTTATATTTATAGATGTGTTATTTTTTGTGAACATTGTAATGATTGTATTTTTCAACAACAAAAAAATAAAGGAAAATTTAATTTTTAAATGGAAAAAAGATACGTCGTGATAATTTCATTATTATTATTTGACTCATATTAATGTTTATTGATATAAAGAAACTTTTGATATATTGAATTATGCGTAGATTATATAAATACTTGAATAAGTTTATAAAATAATTATGATAGAAGCTTACCAATTTTTTGTATTTGATATCCTTTGGGTGATCTGAGAAGTCTTCTCATCCATGCCGATCTTACTACTTCCAGACATAAATCTGTACTGGAAACGAGTAAGGTGAATTTCATTATTATTATTTGACTCATATTAATGTTTATTGATATAAAGAAACTTTTGATATATTGAATTATGCGTAGATTATATAAATACTTGAATAAGTTTATAAAATAATTATGATAGAAGCTTACCAATTTTTTGTATTTGATATCCTTTGGGTGATCTGAGAAGTCTTCTCATCCATGCCGATCTTACTACTTCCAGACATAAATCTGTACTGGAAACGAGTAAGGTGAATGGTTGAAGATATCCTCTGTATTCTAGACTGTTTGCCGCTTGTATCAGACAAGGATTCCAATAACATTGTGAATTTTGTTTTCTGAATTCGCTGAAGAGATGGAAACCTTCGACTCGGTTGCTAGGTGATGTTTTCAATTCTTCAGTTAGGCTTACGTCATCTTCTTCATTTTCTGGTTCTAAAACGATTACTAAACAATTACCAATTAGAGATTGCTTATATCTTTCTTCTGTAACTGGTTTCGGTGACATATGAATGCTTTCCGATGCAATACATGGGAACAGGAATCATATGCAGCTCTCTTTGGAAGACGTAAGGTACGGAAGACATCTCCCGTTGCTAGGCAATTGTTTGTCGTCTGATAGAGAAATAGCGCCATCTGGATTTATTAAAATGAAAATGATTTTCGATTTTTATAGAAAATTTATTATTATTCTGTATACAAAATCAAGTAATTTTCCTTTTAGTTGATGTCAAATATGCACTATGAGTAAACATTTAAAAATGAAAAATCCGTTTCGGTAGTAGAACGGCGTGGTATCCTGTTTCCCACTGGACTAGAACACTCGAAAGACGTCATGCTGAAACCATGTTGTCATATTACTAAAAAAAATGCGTAAATAACAATAACGATTGAACATGGTGCACGCTAAATGTTCATTTCTAATTAATTTCTAATTATTTGAAACTAAATAAGTAATGTCGAAAACCACAAGCTATCACAGTGACCTGTCATTTGTTTCTGTCCAAATACGTAAAAATTTTCAAACATTTTTCATTGAATATATGAAATACTAGCTGTTACCCGCGACTTCGTCCGCGGAGGTTTTGCAAGCAAACCCCATTTAAATTCAATATTTTAATAACCATAGTAATTGTTATATAACACTTACCGCTGAAGAGAATTGCCGAGAATCAAACGAACTATTTTCAATTTGATCAATTTTCTGAAACGTTTACAATCGTTCTATAATCGAACCAATACGCAATAACAAATTCGAATTTAAAACNCTTATACTTTGATATTGGAAAGTATATGATTATAAGTTTATTTTTTTATATAATTTTTTATTATATAAAACGATGGAAGAAAAATAAGTAGATATTTTATTTTTACTGATTATAATTTGGAATCATCACAATTTTAAAATGATCATTTATCATTTAGATTTTAAGTTATAGAGCAACTTCTGTTCATAATATATATTATACATAAATAAATACTATTATATTATTTTTATTTTATTTGTGTTTCTATATTTGCCAATGTTTTTACAATTCATGGCTTTTAAAGACGTTTGCATGAACTGATTATAGTTATTAAGTTGAAATTTTTATATAGTTGATTATTTTGTCTTTTGAGAAATATTCTTCATAACTTGAATAAACTAAAGTCTTCTTCTATACATAAAAGGAATATATAAATATAATCATATATAATCAAGTAATAACAATAAATATAATGACCAAAACGCAATTATCTTTTTTGATAATGATAAAAGAGCAAAATGGGAAAAGATGTTCCAGAAGCATTAAAGAAATGTTTTAATAGTATAAATAAGTTGTTTATTCTTGATAAACTATAAAACTAACAGAAAAGAATCGAGCTTTTAAAATAATTATTCAATAAAAACACATTTTAATTAAACTTAATAAATATACATTAAAATTTGTAGGCTAAATTTATAATTATAGTGCATTCGCATTAATTCGAACAACCTTTGTTCGTTTTTCCATTAAATATTCCAGTCAAAAAGAAAAAAATAATATATTATTTTTTTAAAAAAATTAATATGTACAACATATTTTAGTATGAATATATGTATCAAATGCAGCATAAAACGTTTTGAATATACTGTATATAGGCTACTATACTTGTCTATAGTCCTTTTTGACTTCCTTTTCTTCATATATAACGCTACCAATCTGAATAGTTTCATAATTCGTTTGGATTAGCGAATGCTCATTGTTTAATATATAAAAATATTAAATTATTTAAAATTATTTCTTATTCAAATTTCAAAATAAGTAAAATATTCTAATAACTAATCTACTAAAAATTTAATTAGAATACATTTCAACAAAATTAATATTTTATTAATTTTATTTTAATCATGATACTCGTTTAAAATTATCTCAATCATACTAGTTTACCAATCGTACAAAAAGAGATGAAAATCATTTCTAATCTTCACAAATGGCTGCTGAATTCTTTTCCAAAATGTTCTCAGAAGTATTTGAAATATTAGATAAATTTATTAAACAGTTTGAATCTCTTATAAAATAAAAACAAAACTATATTAAAATACAACTTTTGGCTAGTTTTATTATCGCCATTTTACAAATTCAATGATAGTTTCACAAAGTAAATAATATTTGTTAAGTGGTTGTTAAATGTTGAAATTTCTAGTATTGTTCGATAATAAAAAAGAAAACGTAAGTGTAACTTTAATGATATTGTATGGTTGTAACTGTTTACTAATGTTTTTAGGTCATTTGGTTATAGTTCTCTTTTTCGTTTACTCAGAAATCGAAGTCCACTTAATACACATAAATCAAATGCTCGAAAAGCTTTTAAATCCTTAATACACGACTTACGGATTTTTGTACATTGTATAATGAAGACGGAAAGCCATAATTTATTTCCTGTAAAGGATTCTCCATCAGCTTAAATATTCTGACTACAGCTACTAAAGTTAATGATAAATGGACCCTTCAAAATAACTGGTTTTTAATTTCTGTACCAATCATGAGAATGTTTTTAATTCGCAAGGAAACGACAGTAATTTTCCTGATGAAAGATAAATATCCAGAAATGTATTCTAAATAGAGTTTTTTTTTATATTTAGAATACATTTCTAAATATTTTTATGAGTAAAAAATGAAGAAACGATGAAAACAGATTCAGTAAAATCATTTAGTTAATCTAATCAGCTTTTTTTTTTTCCTGCATCATTTCTTTCTTAATTCCTACAGTTTAAATGTGAAGAAAATTTGTTTCTAGTATGAAATTTTAAACTTTTTTAAAATAAGAAAAATAAAATTATTTATGTGAAATATCAAAAGAAAAAAAAATATTTATTTCATGTCTAATTTATAAAATTCTGCGGAATAAAATTGAGAAGAATATAGAATTATTTACTCTAGATAATTCAACATTATTCAATTTTTTAAAGTACTGTACAACATAATCGAAAAATTCTGAATTTCACAAAATATTCTATTAATTTATTATTTCTTAAAGAAATTCTATATTATTACAGTAAATAATTAAAGATGTCATAAAAACTAGACTTACGAGTCTTCTAAGATTTTGATAGTTTACATGGGATAAATTTTAAATTCCTATATATATATAGTTTTAATTAGCTATATTATGAGATCTGAAGTACGATCTTTTACTCGAGATCATTAATTCAATTCGTATTATTCATTTGTAATTTCTCTGTAGTCTTATTCTACAGAATACAAAGGAATAAAATGGATTTGGATGATTATAATTGATATAATTTTTTAAGCATATACAGTATTTATTATTTAAGGATAAACATATAAAATGTTAAATATTTTTTATTAAGTCAACTTTTTAATTTTTATTTATCCGATTATTTATTTAAATTCATTAGTTTATTGTAATGACAATGGATTAAAATGTAAAAAAATAAAATAAAAAACATGGTTTCTTGAAACAAAATTTTGTGTAGAAAAACTCTATCTTATTTATATAAAGAATAGAAATCAATACTTAGTATATTGTAATTTATGATAAAAAAGTATTTTAAGATCTTTCATTTCAATATACACATTCAGTTTGTAACTGGAGCACAACGTCTCAATATTCAAAAGAAGTGTTGACTTTTTGACCTTTCTCGTCTTTATTTTTTCTGCATTATCATCGTAAATCCTGTTCAGATTGAAAATTATTATTTATTTTGTATTTATTATTTAAAAAATATATACATTTACATCATAAATATTTATAAAAATTTTTATATATGCATATAATCTTCAAAACAGTAGATAATGCAGATAAATAATTATTTACTGCTTTTTAAGACATAAGAAGTATTTTGAAACTTATTTGTTGAAGAAAACAATGTAAAACAAATACGATAGATTTTATTTGCTTTTTCAAATGAAATAATTTTTGAAAAATCAACAAACTACATAAGTTTTTCATGCTTATCAATTTTAGATGAACGAATAACTGTGTTTAGACGAATTTCAAAATTAAGAACTAGAAATAAAAGTCTTTTTAGTATCGTTTATTAACAAAAAGTTTGGAATTCTACCAGAAAGTAACTAACTGTCGAATCTCTTTAAATTATTCTAGTTAGGAGTTAGTCTTTTTACAGAACGTTTTCCTAACAGCATAGCTTACTATTTTTCTACCATATTATTTTATAACAATTAAAAAAGGATTGCGAAATATATTAAACTAGCTGAGGTACCAGGCTTCGCTCGGAAAAAAAAAATTATATAAGTTATGTATAAAACATATAAACATGTATAGGTACACAGAAAAAGAATATATACTTGTAATAATTAGATTCAATCAAAACCAATTTTACATCGAAAGAAATTCTACAGACTCATTGACAATCTGACACAGGTTAAAATGACAATGGTAATACGTTCATTTCGGCATACGTTTTGCTGAAATAAAAGGCCAACTAGCTCTCACTAATGTCCATTTTAGCCCGTTTACTATGCTGAATATATGTACAAAGTTTTATAGAAATCAGTTTAGCCGTTCTCCGTGATACTCAAACAGACATAGATTGAATTTTATACATATATAGATAAAAACTTCTATAATTCTATAGAAATAAAAACTATAACCAGTTCTACATTGCATTTTAATTAGGCCAACAACTTATGGAAAAACATTTTCAGGTTTGAATTTGACAAAATAAGTTTCATTTTACTTATCTTTATATGTATTGAAATCATTTGTATCGTATCATTTGAAAGGAATTTTTCTAAGTATTAACTGAATTTGTTATATTTTATATAGATAAAACTATATCAGATATTCTGTAAAACAATTTAATTAAACGACAGTCGTTAATTTTGTGTCATTTAACTACTAATATATAAGTAAATATTCAATCTAAAAATATACAAAAGAATAGAGTTTTGTTTTTTTTTTTGCATTGGAAAAACTTTTTAAAATGAGTGAATAAAATGAGGAAATAATTTTTTGTATTATTCAATACAAAAAATTATTCCATCATTATATTATCACATAATACAGTATAAACTTACTTTTATAAAAAAAAAATCCAGCAACAAGTTTCGTAACTTTCCCGCTGATATGAGATTTTATTTTAAAAATAATTTTTATGTTATAAATCATAATAAATAAAGTT